CTGAATGGAATGTTGTGAGGCTTGACCCTTACCGGTTCCGATGTCGTCGTCTTGATGTCGTGCTCTACTAAAGATGTCTTCCCCGGCATATCGGTCAAGATATCATCAAATTCTTTCATCAGGTCTGACACATCTTTTCTTTGAGGTTTGGTAAGTAACTCAGAAACTAACACATCCCTGGCTGATTCATTCCTTTCTAACGGAAGCACTGTAATAATGTCATCCACCACGCCATCTTCGCAATCAACTGTCTCTTCTTCATCAACCATGGACACGCAAACAACCGACAGAATTCCCTCCTGTAGACATGCTGAGCCCTCTTTCCTGTCAACATATAATCTCAGAAGATTGGCATGTACAGTTTTCGCTTTACCGTCAATGTCTACCTTGTAATCCATTGACCCCATCTTCTCTGTAATCTTGTAAGGTCCTCGCCACTGCATCTCTAACTTGTCTTCTTGGTCGGCAGCAAAATCAAAACTTTCTGACCTACAGCCATCTGTCTTTCCTTTGCTTTCCGATTGAAGTAAGACGCCTGGCGTACCTTTGCCGTCCGAAGTTGCTTCTGGGCCATCTCGCAAGTCTGTTCCAACTTCGCCTTCAAGTCTACAACATATTGGTAGGTAGTCTTGGTTTCAGGATCCTGTACCTGTTTTGTCCAAAATTCCTTTAAGATCATCATAGGCCCTCTGACGGTACGTCCGTATAACATCTCGAAGGGGGAGAAGCCAAGACTCTCTTGGGGAACATCCCGATATGCAAAAAGCAACGCATTGATATATTTGTCCCAATCCTTGGGTCTCTCCCTACACATCCGACGTAGCATCTGTTTAAAGGTGCCATTAAAGCGCTCAACGAGGCCGTTGCACATGGGGTGGTAGGGTGTTGTAGTCAACTGACGTATAGATAGCAAGCGGCTCACTTCCCTCATGAGTTCAGACGTGAATTGAGCTCCCTGATCTGTAAGGACTTCGTTCGGGACACCAACACGGCTATAAATATCAACCAACACCTCAGCCACACGCTCGGTCTCGATCCCTTTTAGTGGTATGGCCTCAGGGTACCTCGTGGCGTAGTCCACCAATGTCAAGATATACCGGTTTCCCCGGTCCGTAGCAGGTTGGAGTGGCCCAACGAGGTCTATTGCCACACGCTGAAAAGGCGTTCCAATGAGCGGCATCGCTCCTAACGGTACCTTAGTCACCCTGCCCTTTGGAAAAGTTCGCTGACAGACATCGCATGAGCGACAAAACCTTGTCACATCCGAGGTAACCCCTGGCCAGTAAAACTCTGATAATATCCTCTCGGTCGTTCTTTTCGCAGCAAAATGGCCAGCCATCAAAGAATCGTGAGCCAATTTCATCACTGCGGATCTAAACTTTGTTGGAACAACAAGCTGTTTGAACACTCTCCCTTGAGACGAGGTCGGACTCTGAAACTCCCTGTATAACAGTCCCCGTTTGACGTAAAAACGAGACTTACCTCCATCCGTTCTGACCCTCTCGTCACCATTCTGTGCTAATGTCCACTATCATCAGTTTCCTGGGCAGTTCTGATCTCATCAGGAGTAGCAAAATTGTCAGCAAACGGTACATTTAATGCACGATACGGCCGGTTTCCTTTCTTGTATTGTGCTCGCGTCTGTACAGAAGAGACGGCTTCAACGTTCCAATCATGATTAGGGCACCAAGGCTGCCTTGCTCCGTCGACGTTGCCGATAATCACGTCATACAATGGATTATCCATACACCAGGCTACAACTGAACCAACGTAATACGGTGTGTCTAAGAAAACGTTAGCGATGGGGACCTCCCGTTTAGATCCATCCGCTAGTTTACAGGTTTGGGTTTCTCCAGTCATCAGCTCCTGGTCCACCAAACTCCTTTTGATCACCACCCCAGAACATCCGGTGTCTCTTAATACTGATACTAAAGAAGCATTGACACGGCCTTCGACCACAGGCATTTCCTCAGACTTGGGAATTTTAACATGACAGGATATATTAATCCCTGATTGATTGTTACGCTTACCTGTCGTAACACCTACCTTGTTACCCCCAGACTTCTTTGGACAATTGTAAGACATGTGGTCTGGTTTCTTGCAAATAAAACAATGCTTACCTCCCTTCTTTGGTTCCTTGTCCTTTACATCAGAATGCGTACTAGAAGCTTGCTGACCCTTGAGAGATGTTTTATTATTCAACTTATGGTCTGGCCTTACAAAGTTAGACGCATTCCCTCTAGCTTCTGCAAACTGGTCCGCCAACTTTGACATTTCGGCTATACTTTCAGGAATTCTCTCCTTAAGGAAAAGTTTCAGCTCATGCCCACATGCTTGAAGGAACTGGTCCCTCACGATCAAATCTCTCAAGCCATCATATGTTTTTTCCACTCCAGCCATTTCCATTCATCTAATAAGATCACTCTCAAGTCGTACCGCGAATTGCGAAAAAGTCTCGCCCGTTTCCGGTCGCCCACTTCGGAATCGCTTTCTGAAACCCTCCTCAGTCATTTCGAAGCGCTTTAACAGGGCCCCCTTCAGCACATCATAGTCAAGGCTCTGTTCCACAGGTAATCTAGAAAAAACATCTAGCGCTCTCCCCTTTAACAGCACACTCAGGTTTGAAGCCCATTGTATGGTCTTTTCCCATCCTTGGGTTGTAGCATACCGTTCAAATCTCTGAAGGTAGGAATCGATGTTATCCTTTCCCTCTTCAAACGCAGGAAGTTTTGGTCCCTTTGACGATGTTGAAAGTAATTTACCCTTACCAACAAAAACTTTCTTTTCTTCCATCTGTAACAGCTCCATCTTCCTTGCATGATCTCTATTGGCCCTTTCTTCTCTGTCTCTCTCCAAAGCCCTCTGTTCCTTCAGTATACCCATCTCGTGGTCATGTTTACTCTGTTCTGCTTGTTGCTGCTCCTCCCATTCCCTCTGTTTCTGTTCTCGCTCTATGTGTCTTTCATTCCGCTCTCTGGTCTGTTCATCCTAAACAAACTTCTGTAAATCAATACCTTGATACCCGAGATCAGTTCCAATTTCCATCAGCTCTTTGACCGACGTCATGGTGCCAATCTCAATAGAAAATTCCCAAACTCCAGAACGGTGCTTGTAAACGCTAGCACTTACGCGACTTGGAAAATTGATGTAAAGCAACAACACCAAGCATATGATTTTACAACACATCTGCAAAGAAAGATGGCATAATACATAAAGTACATGAAGTGTAACTTACCTAGGATCCATGTAGCAACACAGGTCTTCATGACATGCTTGAATACTTGACCACCTCCTATTAAGCATTAAGGACCTCCTAGGTTCCCACTTACCGATTCCCAGCACCAATCTAAACTAGTTATAACATACACACTAGTAAACAGCTATCAACTCGTAATATTCCTCTCAACAATCACACATCCCACCGCTGCCACCAAAACTTTGTAACGTAACTCTGAGCGGGATTGTCGACATTCACACGAGAAGACAGACTACAATATTCACAAGATTTATTTACAGTTTTCCTACAATAATATTTCCGGACATTTATTTACAAACATGATCCTCACATTGTTAGTCATATCACCACATACGCATTTCACTCTCATGCATACATAATTACATACTCATCAATGACTACCAAACTACAACAACACTAAGTAACCTAAAAGTCACGGTCAGGCCACCGTAGAGTACTCCACAACGTCGCTGTCGTCCGACGTCAACCAATTGTTCCAGATATAAGTAACTGTCACAGCCAAGCAATATTCCCAGAATCCTTGAGTACACCTGGTCGTAAGAACATAGACCACACATCCAAAGCCAAGTAACAGGTATCAACAGATCATCACAATCGACCCCAGAGAAGACATCAAGTAGAACTGTGTTCCCACGTCGGCGATGACTTTCCCAGGACGCTGACGCCATACATCTCTATACAAATAAATGCCGTCGTCGATTCATATCACGAGACAAATGGATACATCATATACCATACAATATATCCAACCCTTCCAAATTACTAAGGGTGAAGTTCAAGGCACATATACGCTGGGTATTTGGTACTGACCAATACTTGACCCCGCCTCAGGGCTTCCATACACACAACGAGTGGGTTTTCAGTGTCAGCTATCGCTACGGTGTTGGCCCAACAAGCTACAACAATATAGGAATTGTAATTCACCCTTATTGTATAATAAACTATTTGAATATTACTTATTATTACCAACCACACATTAAATACATATACAACTCTAGTGAAATTCGTTAACATACACGCTTTTAATAAACAAAGAACTGCACGAGCGCCAGTAGTACCCGGTCACCCATAACAATAGCGGTTGCATTTAACGACCCTTTCAAACTCAAAATCTCATTCAAACAGACAAAAACCTATCCAAATACTAGTGATAAGGTTATGAGGTGATGTTTGGATGAATCAATTAAAAATACTCACCCCAATCTGTATTTTAGGCGTCGTAGTGAGCCACGTCTTACCACCCGCTAAGCGTGCTTATTTACCTGTATTATTCTCACCTGTCGCACCTGCGCACGTACGCCCCGTACAGCTCGACGGGTAAGAAAAGGCGCGCTAATTTGAAACTCTAGGGCTAACATAAATCATTTATCGGCATAAAATAATGATTTACTATATATACATAGAAACGGCATGGACTGTGCAGGGAACCCTCTGCACCCCATCTCTACTGGCAAGACCCACGCACTCCATCCTTTTGCTCTCACGTCGTCTGCAAGATCGGCGTACTTCCCTTTCTTCCGCTCATGAGCCTCTTGGCATCGATCCTCCCAGGGGACAGTTAGCTCAATCATTATCATTTTCTTCCCTTGCTGTGACCATAGCAGGATATCTGGACGAAGGTTGGTTTGGACGACATCTGGGAAAACTAGTCTTTGTCCTAAGTCAACCCGCATCTCCCAACTGTTTGCTCCATCTAGTATCCCTCCTTGGTGCACTGCTTTCTTATTGGTTGTCTCTCCAGATCTTACAAAGTTGATGTACGGTTGATGTTTGGTACATTTCCTCTTTTCTGCCTTTCCTTCTCAAGGGTGTCTGCTAGCTCTCGCAGTACATTGTTGTGTCTCCATGTATATCTCCCCTGGGTCAGAGCGGTGTTGCACGATGACAATACATGGGCCAGGTTACCCGGTTGGTCACACAGTGGGCAGTTGGGGTTTTCCGTCATCCCCCATCGGTGGAGATTGGTAGGTGTTGGTAGGACATCATACACTGATCGCAGGAGGAACTGGATTCTACATGGTTCCAACTTCCAGATATCTGCCCATGTAAGACGTCTTTCCGTTGTCTCCCATTTGGTCCATGCTCCCTGTGCTCCCATTTCTACAGCTTTAACCTTCCTGATCTCTTCCTCCATCTTCCTGATGTTATCTTGAACCATCTTCCTTCTACCAGCCGTGTCTGCTGTTCCCCACCTTTCCACCCGCGTTGACCCTAACCCCTGTTTGCCTATACAGGTAGTCCCAACGATGTCGCTGTGCCTTAGTCTGCTCTCTGCTTCCTGTACCGCAATACTTGCTGACCACTTGCGTCCTGTTCGAGTCTCAATTCCAGCATTCCGGATCTTCTCATCTTTGGAGTCTCTAACAGTCATCACCAGCCTAACCTTTGCCACCTTGAACTCTTCTACCAGTGATGATAATGGGAGTTGTAATTTGCCTGTGGTGCTGTAAAGGCCCACACTGGTGAAACTTGGGGGGACTCCAAGCCAACGTCGTAGACATTTGCTAATTTTCCTTTCCAGGATTTCCACTGTGGTAGTGGTAACCTCGTACAGGGTTAGAGGCCACGTGAGGCGTGGTAGGAGCCCGTGTTGGTACATCCACGATTTGAATTTACCGGGCAGTCCTGATTTGTCAATTCTCCTCAAACCTTCTTCCACCTGGTTCTGCAAACGTTTGATATTCTTGTTGTCGTTCAGGCTAGCATCAAACCACTTTCCTAAACACTTGATTGGATTGTCTACGATTGTTGGGATCTCCTCCTGCTGTATCGAGAGCTTGAACTTTCTGGTCACTTTCCCTTTCTTTATCACAACACATCGAGATTTCCTTGGTTTAAACTTCATCCTTGCCCATCCAACTGTTTCCTCGAGTGCTGACATGATCCATCGCGCCTGCACGTGGGTGGTAGTTGTTATGGTCAGGTCGTCCATGAACCCTCTGTTTGGTGGTACTCGCACTCCTGATGAAGTCTTGGGTCCTCTAGTCTCCCGGTCTGCCGCCTTGATGATCAGGTTCATCCCCATCACAAAGAGTATGACCGATATAGTGCATCCTGTTACAATATCCTTCTCAAGTGCCTGCCAAGATGTTGTTATCTCCCTGACCGTGAATCGGAGCCTAATGTTGCTGAAGTAGCTCTTCACGATCTTCTGGATGTGATCCGGGATGTGGTAATGTTCCAGCGCCTTGAAAATCAACTGGTGGGGGACAGAACCGTATGCATTGGCCAGGTCTAACCAAACAACTGTCAAGTCTCCTTGATTGATCTTGGCTTCCCGAATTAGCTGTGTGATTGCGCTGGTGTGTTCAATACATCCAGGGAATCCTGGAATTCCTCCTTTCTGCACAGAAGAATCGATGTACTCATTCGATGTCATGTACTTCGTCATCCTCCTGGCAAGTATGGCAAAGAAGATTTTCCCTTCTACACTCAAGAGTGATATGGTTCTGAACTGGTTCATGGAGTACTGGTGCTTCAGAACAGCGCTCTGTTTATATGTTTGATATTTGTGCATTCTTGTGAATTTTGTGTCTTAATCTTGTTGGTTAGAGCTAATGTTCTCCGCCACCTTGTGTAAATGTAAATGTTATTATTTGTATGTATATTGTCAATCTTATATGCTGTTGCATACGCAATGAAATAAAATTGAAATAACCCTTATGTATCACTCATGACTGATTGGTTTGTAATAGATTATTAACATGTTTATCGATTTCAAATATCGCCTTTAGAATTTCACGTATTTCACATAAACGACCATTGATGGTGCGTGAATATGAATCGAAGATTACAGTACTTCACAATTGACATTGACAAATGCCGAAATGGAGTATTCCCTACCTTTTGTTGAATTATGTTCGTCTATAGACGTTATACGAAGGCCTCTGTAGAAAAGCTAATTTAAATATTTACCTTAAGTTTTGTTTTATATACATGTACTGAAACCAGACAAGTCTATCTTTCCCAGACTAAGCCGTCACTTTTACGTAATAACAACCAATTGTAGCCGTTGTGGTAAATACACACAGTCACGTGATGTAAAATTAAATATATTTGATAGGACGGGTGGTAACACAACTTTCACCTTGGTGACCCGTGTTTGATTTCCTCATCGGGAGTGAAAAGGTATGAAGTCACCTGCCCGACCCCGCGGGGTTTCTTTCTTTTGTTTTCCCGTTTCCTCCACAGTACGTACTCGCGTGCTTCAATCCGTCTCAGCAGGGTGCTTTTGTTTATATGTGTTTGTCGTATTGATACTTTAAATCCGAAGAACGTGGGGTAAATCTTTAAATTCGAGTGGTATTAAAAGACATGCTTCATTTATAAAACAAAACTGACCATTGTTTATGAAGGAACCTGTCAAATGATGATATGTAAACACATACAGTGTACGATATATTTTGTTGTTACTATGGAATAATAATTTAAAACACACACACACAAACACACCCACACATACACACACACACACGCACCCTAACACACCCACACACACACACACACACCCTCACTGTGGTGTCTCAAACTTTTATTTATCTGTTTATCATGCAAGAGTTGTCTCCGGGGAGGACAGCAGTATCACACACAGAACCTCCGGAGAGGGTAAGAAACTGAAATTAATAAAATGTTCGACTTATAACAGAAATCTCAATGCATTAGAAGGCTTACCAAGCAAACACGTGTTCCGGTTTACAAATCACGCTTCGAATAAATCCCAGTTCTAGGTAAGATTATCGACTTTGACACAGTTAATGCACTAAATTACTGTTATGTACATACATCTTACATGGTACTTACTCAATGGTTAGCACTAGATCTAAATGACACATGAAGATAATTGTGTAAAACAGCTCCTAGCTGTACTGAAAAACACAAGTAAACAAACTGGAAATCACAACAAGTCCGATAACTCTTGCAGAACTTTAAAGATGCGCGTTCCATAATACAGCAGAAAATATATATTTTTATAACATCACACTCCCCTCCTGGCGTGTGAAACACGTCACTAATATATTGTCATACAATTGCATCTATTACTACACAAATATGATGAACGTGTCTTTCAATAAACACAACTACAAT